GTACATGTGGTGGGCTTATACACTGGAGGGGGCTTATATTCGGGTTGGGGCTTATATTCGGAGGTTTACGGTATGCTGCTAATAAGTATAGGTTATTTTGAGGCAACGAGGGGATATGTGATTTATTCACCGAGGCGCGCAGCGCCGAGGTGAATAAACACATATCCCCGAGGTGCCTCAAAATAACGTACTTATTTTTCACAATGCGAGGTCGCGTTGATGAGTCAGAATAGAAATAATTCTTAACGCCATATTGCCTTTGTTATGTTGTTTTTTCTCATTTTTTGTGCTGCAAAGACATTGCAGGTGAATATTAGAGGGGATTATTAATTGCAGGTGAATATTAGAGGGGATTATTAAATGGAAATTGATTAGAGGGGAATATTGAATATATTCCCCGATAAGAACAAAGGAAACCGAGCAGGGTGAAAAATAAGCATGTAATAGTGCTGATTATAGTACTTCGACCTCTTAATATGGCAACTATACCATATACCCTCTGCAATGAGGGTAAGTGAACTTATCTCTTGTAGAGATCCGGTTGCCAATAGCGGTGTTGAACACGCCTTTATTCTCTCAGTATGCTGAATTTCAAAATCACTCTGCAAACAAAAAATGAGAATATATTCTATATGCATGCAACATTAAGGATCTTACAAGGAAACTTAACATCACTACCAAATATATCCAGGTAGCCTATGTATGTGCATGCATGTTGCAACTGTACTGCACAACAACCAGCACGCCCTACTTGTTTTTTTTTAAAGGGGAAGTCAAGTCCGTTCTGCGCATCGGTTCTGCTCATAACAATGTGAGGACCTCTAATGTGAACATTGCCCAAATTTAGAATTTTTCTGAACATAAACTCTATTTCATACTCATTTAGAAGTATAGCGAAACAAAATGGTGTTAGATATTCAGACGGTACATCATATTTTAAAAAATAAAGCAGTTCAAAATGTAAACAAACCGTTTGTTTACATTACGGAGTTGACTTCCCCTTTAACTTGTCTAATGCCAGACGATTTTACTCGTCAATAGGGAAGCTCTCCAGCTTAATTAATGGGTTTTTAACCAAAAAATCTGACAATGTCTATAGTTAACCCATTAAGCCGCAATGCACTCCAGCATGCCCTACATTTTCTTCTACTTGTCTAATGCCAGACGATTTTGCTTGTCAATAGAGAAGCTCTGCAGCTTAAATGGTTAAGTTTTGACATCACTAATCAGCTAAATGGCATAAAATATACAAAATTGACTTACATTCACAACTTCGAAAAATAGCTCCCCTGGAATTTGTTTGCTTGCTGCCATTTCAAAGGCAAATGCTGCAAGAATACAGCGGTTTTCCAACTCTACAATAATCAAAAGGAGATAAATATTTACACATGCATACATACATACACACTGCAAAAATACCTAAATAAAAAGCTTCATGCTCTGCTTAAAATTTTACTGTGAACATTTACAATTCATATATACATGAACTCTAATTAGCTTCATGGACTCTTGGGGCTTGGACTCTCAGGGCTTGAGTGTCTCTCGGCTGTTAAAGAGCTGTTCAGAATCACAGGGCAGAAGGTTCCATTCCCGGCACAGTATTTTATTTATTTATTTAGCTTTGCCAACTAGGGCAGGGTCACCACAACAGCATATGCCAATTACTGTGGGCCCTTTTTTACCTAACCCACCCTGTCAACTTTCCCTGTGGGAGGAAACCGGAGTACCCGGGGAAAACCCACAGCTTTCGGCAGAGCGTTGACTTTTACTCTTTTCACATGGGGACTGGGTTCGAGTCGCACTGAGAAGGTACTTAGTGAGACTCGAACCTGCAGCCTCAGAGATGAAAGGCAAGTGCGCTAACCACTTGGCCACCGAAGCCCCTAGTATGTATATATTACATATTTATTGTTCAAAATTTCCATTTAATTAAAGAAAGGCTTTAACCCATTGAATGGCAGCCTCTCTCCTTCATGAGTAAAATTGTCACATAAAGGGTTAACATTCTGTTCAATGTAGAATATTTACAAGATGTAAAATATGCATGTAGTGTGACTGTTCAATCAAGCATGTCATGCAAGTCCATCAGTTAAATTTTACATGCAATCTTCTAATAAAATGACATTTTCCCAATAAATTTCAATATTAAAAGATATCAGTCTGTGATTGGTTTTGTCAGTTACATTTCGAAACTGTTTGCAAAAGTATGATGTTGATTTACTTTATTTGAAAATGTGCTGCTATTACACAACTCAGTCTGGGTGATTTGTTTTGGCGAGCGTAGCCTGCCCATGAGCCCATCTACAGAGGCTCATAAGACATGTAAATAGACATTCGTCCAGGGAAAGCAAGCTATAGCCAAGTTACCTGGGCTGGCTCGCCTCTATATAAGCAGCCCCTTTCACATGTTTTAGGCTGACCGATAGGAGGGTTACAATAGGCATAGCAAGCACATGCCATGCAGTGGGTAATATTGGGAGATGCCGAGATGGGCTATTGCACTGCTGTCTATATGCCATTAATGTGACTGCATTTCAAACAAGTCACATATATAAAAGTACTGTATACATGTCAACGTTATAGCAAATGATATTTTCTGTGCTGATGCAATGTACTCAGGTGAATATGATGCTTGTGATGTTACACTGAGTGTATATCCACCCCGAGCAAGCTTGAAAAATATGCCTGTCCATGGTGGGAATCAAACCTATATGACCTTTGGAATACTAGCCCAATGCTCTGCCAACTGAGCTATGCGGTCAGGTTGGTTCGAGCAAAGTCCTTAACTGTGGTTCGAGTATGTGATATTTCAGAACAGAATCTAGTTCTAAATCTGTCCGCAGGTTTGATTCCCACCCACGCGTATTTTTCAAGCTTGCTCGGTGTATATATACACTCATCATGATATTTTCTGTGTTGACGCAATGTACTCAGGTGAATATATGCTTGTGATGTTACTCTGAGTCTCAGAGTAACATGACAAGCATATATTCACCTGAGTACATTGCATCAACACAGAAAATATCATGATTACTAAATTACATTGGTATCAAAGGAACTAGATTCTGTTCCGAAATATCACATACTCAAACCGACCTGACCACGTAGCTCAGTTGGCAGAGCATTGGGCTAGTACTCCAAAGCTCGTAGGTTCGATTCCCACCGTGGACAGGCATATTTTTCAAGCTAGCTCAGAGTATTAAACATCACAAGCATCTTTATAGCAAATATTTAACAGAAAATTACAACATACAAAAGCATATCACACAAATAAGCTATACGATTTTCTTAACAACACATATACGTGGAGACTGTAGATTAGACTTATAGACTTCTGCTAATAGAAATTAATCGAAAATTTACAACTGAACGTCCAGATGCCTTCAGTGAATCGGCGGCGAAGGGACTAATATAAAATACAGGCCTTCGATTTTAATAAAAATATAACTACAGTATGTCAAGTAACTATCCGCATACAAATGAGTAAGTACACAATAGACATACCTTAAAATTCCATGTATCTTACTAGGTCTTTCGAACTTTATAATAGAAAATTTGAATAAAAATCTTCTCCATTGAATCCTTGCTCTCAAAATATCGAACTTGGCGCTTGTTGTCAATGTGTCATACAGATCGAATTACTACAACACGTGATATATTTTAAGCATGTTAATTGGTTGAAAGTTTGAAACTTCCACTTGTTGAAAATTATATTCAGCAGCAAAACATTCCACAAGTTCAAATTACAGAATCTCTGGCAAACGCGGGTAATTATAATAGAGATTTACGCAGCAAAAATATAGATGAGAGCAATGCTGGTGTTAAATTAATTTGACAAGAAAAACTCGCTGACAATTTCTGGCTACATTCGATCGTCGCGTGCGATCGAACAATAAGAAGCCGATATGGTCCGATATACTTGTAATATAAGAATCTGACTGGGCAATATTCGAGAAAAACGGCGCGTCAACCAGCTGAATTAAATCTTGGGTTGATTTTACACGAACTGCAGTTCGCTTTGAATTTGTATAGAAAATATCGCCCTAATTTTAGGTTGAAGAAACTTGAATATAGTTTTTGTCATTCCTATGTGTGATGGTCGAGTTATAATACACAGGCCGAGTAAAAACGTAGTGGAAAATTACTCACTATTTCACTTCTACTATACGATTTAATAAATAGCTTTTAACTGAGTGGAATGAGAATAACTCCTTGAAATTGAAAGTATATGTCGTAAGTCGAACTAAATATTTCAACATATTTCATATAGGTTAGTTTAGTTTTCAGTATTTTGACCTAATCATAATGGTTATAATGACCTATTTGGGAATAATAACCAATCGCTAAATTTGCTTAACCAAAAAGATTGGTTAAATTAACCTATTTTTATTGGTCGCAAAATTTGACCTGATAATAATAGGTTATTTTAACTAATTTAAATCGGTTCTAACCCATTCAATTGGTTAAAACAACCTTTAATTATTGGTTACAACCTTTAGAAATAGGTTGTTTTAACCTATCAGTTTTTACAGTGTAGTTCTTAATATTCTTAGTGATTTTGTATTTTATATCTTTTTGTAACATTTATCTACGCCCCACTTGGAAAGCAGCTACGGTTGAAGTGGCCAGCGTAGTCAAATAAAGTTTTATCCTAATTACCTGTCAACTTATACCTTCATATCCAGGGCTTTTTTTGGAATTCAAATTATTTATCTCATTTTCCAATTTATCTTTAGTTATTGGATTAATAAAGAAGCTCCCTTTACAGCTATTAGTGAGATATTTATCAAAATTTTAATATGCCATTGGAAAGTTTTTTTCGCAAATCCTGGGCCAATATTTACAAAATAATCATTGAATCCAATTGCTATTGATTTCGGATCAGTAATTTTTCCAATAAATTCTTTTGGTACATGAGGACCCGCACGCCTATAAATTGAATTATCTTGAAGGTGTTGGTCACCACAGCATTATTAGTCGAGGTGGTAAGAGTGGTGACATGTATAATGAATTTATAGTGAAATCATTTATGCGTGCATGCAATTTAACCCCATGAGATATGATGCAGCAAATAACTAACTGAGCAAACATACAAACCAGGTTGTCATCACCAATTTATAATAATGTTAGCAGACAATGCCGCGCAAAGATCAAATTGCGCCAAAATCTGGTTTGAAGAAGGAGAGAATTCTGCTTGACAATCGTGTGTATGGATTCAGTATGGAGATCAAGATCGAACAAACTGGCAATATTTTGATGGGTGCTTATTAAAGAATGATGCGTAATCAGTTAGGTATAATAGTCAAAAAGTTGTAGGTATCGCACCACTTAATCAGTTATTATTTGCTTTAGTATACAGTATGTTAGATACGCCGGGTACCACGGCTTTCAAGCAGGGCTATCACAACCGCGAGTTGATTGTAATATATTCATTATAATATACTCATTTCTATATTTTGTTACATGGCAGCACAAGACAAATAATATTTATTTACATATATTATATACAGTGGCTGGACCAGGCTGGTATAATAAAAGAACCTTATATTATATTCATTTGTTCTTCGCATGACAGCGCAGTGCGGAATGCAAAATAACTATATAAGCGCATACATATTATCTGAGTTATTATGAGTATTTATATATATATATAGTGGAAACTCGTGCGCCAGAAAGATGTCCCATCTTTTGCTAGCAGGTTATGAAGATGTCAGTCTGATGTCCCATCTTTTCTTAACCAGTGGAAGCTTAAACTGAAAGTCCTATATTATAAAAAGTCTT